GCTGGTGCCCCGCGGCCCTCACGTCCACTTGGCACGACGCTAGCAGGGTCATTTTACCGCAGACGGGCCAAGTGACACTGTGTGCTCTTTGGACTGCCCAGGAACCGGGCTGCATTTGGGTGTCCCAGACACGGTCGTTTCCAGAACACTTTCCCAGCTGCTGGCTCGGGGTGCTTTTCCTTTTCTGCTGGCTTGTCTCTGGGAAGAGAGAGCCTACACTGTCCCTGGGGATGCTACAGCCAGGGTGGGGGGGGTTCCTTCCCAGGAGGGAACACTCATAGGAGCATGTCACCCCATGCTTACTGCCTGAGAGGCCTGGGTGTCCCATGACCTTCTCCACGTGCCCTTGTCTCTGTACTAAACCGAGGCCCTATCTCACCCAGCGGAAGTTGCCAGGGTCCAGCACACAGTAGGTTCTTGGTAAATGTTTGGACTGAACAACCCCCTGACTCGCCATCCAGAATCATTTGGACTGTCTGGAACCATGTCATTCACTGATTGGATTGATTCACCCCACAAAGCCACCCTTTTGGACCTCCTACTATGTGCTTACAATCTCACATGAGAGGGAATTTCAAATAGTTCATGAACAAATGGAGTTAAGTTATGAGTTGGTTTTGGGCACCAAAACAATTGGAAATCCATGCATAATTTTTTCATAGCACACATTTTTTTACACACTGAAGACTTCCTATTGCTATAGCTGTTTCCGGGGGAGGAAACCGAGGCTTAGAAAGTTGGACACAGCTCAGAGCAGAGGCAGGGTTCGAACCTGGATCTGTAGGACTCTGTGCTTCCCTCAGCCCCTCTCCCCAGCCCCTACTCCCTCTGTGCATGAACAGCGGAGGCTAGATCTTTCAGAAACCGAATTTTAAAAGTTACATCTTGAAGTTGAATAATCCTCTCTTTTTTTATTTTTTAAAGTTTTACATTGATTTCCTCCATGAGAGAGGGAGCCACACAGGGAGAGAGAAGCTGACCACCCCCAACAGGGTCTTCACGCCGAGATCCACCCCCAGCCTTGGCCGGCTTGGATCTGGTACACACACACCCAGTGTGTACACAGGGACCTGGGGATGCAAACCCACAACCTTCCCACATGGTCTCAGCATCCAGGGGCGTGCCTTACCACTGCGCCACCACAGCTGGCCCGCAATGTCCGACACGCTCGATACCGGCTTTCTCAGGACCCTCCAGCCAGTGTCACTGAGGCTCCCCAGGAAGTTGGGATGTGGACCCCCTTTTTGCAATCTCATCCTAGCTTTTGCAGAGTCAACCCCATCAACCAGCAGCTCTGACCTGGAGGGCCAGGAGTGTGTGTGTGTGTGTGTGGGGGGGTGGTGGTTTTTTAGCCTCCTGGGGTACGGGAGCTTTGGAAATCTCAGGGTCTCCATCACCAGGAGAGTAGTATCTTGTGGGGAGATGGTGATTACCTGATGGTAATCTCTTTTCTTAGAGAGTTTTTCTGTAGGGCACGAGTGTTTGCCGAAGAGACAGAAAATGAGAAATCACCCCCCCTCCCCCAAGTGGGATGGCTATACCACAATCCCTTCCCCTTGATTCTCCTCTTGGGATTCTGAACACGCACACACATGTACACACACTTGGCATGAGTTTCAGGTTTCCGGGTCCAGGACTCAAACCAGGGTCGGCCATGTGGGAGTCCAGCGACATAACCATTACACCATCTGCTGGTCCCAGTGGCATAGCACTTTTTTTTTTTTTTTTGAGAGGCTTTTGCTATAGGGCATGTGCTCTTACCAGAAAGACAGACAGAGATAGAGAGACAGAAAGTGAGATATCATCCCCCCTAGGGGTATGGCCATGCTGCAATCCCTTCTCCATTCTCCTCTTGGGATTTTGGACATGCATGCACATGCGCCCGGCATGAGTTTAAGCCACTGGGTCCAGGACTCGAACCACGGTTGACTACATGGAGTCCAGTGACATAGCCATTACGCTAACTGCTGGTCCCTAGGACTTGAACTCTTCATGATCCATAGTTTGCCTCTTATCCAAAGATACCGCATAGAGTTGACCAAAAGAAGTCTTCTGGAATGTTCTGCCACTAGCCTGCCATTGGCTCCAATCAGCCTGTAGGATTTTGCCCTGGAGGTATCCACAGAGACTCAGTTGCCTTCTGCCCAGAACGCAGCAGGTGCTCCTTGGGCTATGGCCCCCAGGTAAGCGGGACCCAGCGAGGGGCTGAGTTTCCATGACTGCAGGGGTCACCTTGGCGGGGAGGCCACAGCCTCCCTTGGACCAGTCAGCGGAATTCTGTGAAGTCACCCTGGTTTTCCTGTGTCTAAAAGGAGACTAATCACAGCTAAGCGGTTTGAAGTCCTGGTCTGAAAAGCAGCATTTATTACTTGCTTGAGGGTCTTGGCATCTTGGGGCTTCAAGGAGAAGAAAAGCGGCCCACATTGATTTCTAATGCAAATTGAGTTTGAAGAGGATGCTGGGCTCCCAGTCACCCACAGGGGAGGGCACACCCCAGGAGGGACTGTCGCCTTGGGCAAAGAATTTCCTCTCATCAAGACAAAACCCAGATAGGGTAGCTTCCCCCCTTTCAGACCCCACCAGGCAGCACCGCCCCTAGGACCCCCTGGGCTGGAGTCAGAGCAGCATCCGCCTGAGAGCTCTGATCTTGGGACTCCATTCTCCCTCCGCTGCCTCCCCGACCGACCACGCACACACACATGCCTCGTGCACATGCACACAGACACACTGGCATGCATGGGTGTGCACGTATTCATACAGGGACACTTCTTGACACATGCATGCACTCAGACACACAGTCTGACATACGGGCACATACGACATATGGACACGCACTCACACGGACTCACACTCACACAGCTCACGTCCACACACATTTGCAGACACACATGCTTTCTTTTTTGTTTAAAGGATAATTTATTTAACTTATTATTTTTAAAAGAATTATTTATTTAATTTTATGTTTTGTTTTGTTTTAATTTGACCAGAGAGAGAGACCAACAAAGTGAAAGAAAGAAAGGGAAAGTGAGAAAGCAAGCT